GCAAAGCCCCAGGCAATGGAAGATGCTGGCTTGCGGACACGGGACTTGGTGGCACGTTCCAGCTTGAGTTCGTTGAGCTTGTCCTGGGTATCAAAACTAGATACATACATGCAGTGAACTTACTTTCTATCTGTCCCTTTCCTTTACCTCCACATACACATGCCATGACACACGTGGTGTCATGGAGATTGCGCGAACTAATTCTGCCATTAGCCAGCACTGCTTACATGTCATCCGAAGACAGACCAAGTCTCAATGATTTCATCTGCCTTGTCAAGCTTCTTCCCCACGATGTCGATGTATGCAGCAAGCAGGCCTTGCTATGTATAGATGCCAGAAGCCTTCATCCTGAAAATCCTGAGACATGTGCATGCCTCTATGTACGTATACAAGGGACAAGACAGTGCACATGACGATATACATATGCTCATGTATCTAATTAGTTCAAGCAGCATATACTGCTCTGAAATATCATATTCTAACCGAAACCGATACCTCCTGGAGATGTGTCTCTGTACATCAGTATATATAGAGACATAGACACAGACACATCTATAAACCATGATAATGCATTCTATTGGCAGCTGAAAGACATAGACATGCATGTTTCAGTTAGAGACCTCCATCTTGCAGATCCAAGGATCCATATGGGTCAGTGTTGGCCGCCAGCACTGGCAGGGACAAAGCCTTTGCACCTTTTGCCGATTGGGCGGACGTGGCTGCCAGGAACGTAAGCCCGTCTGCGTCCTTCCTTCGCACAAATAGCAGACTCATGACACTTCTATGTGCCTCGCTCCGACAGCAATCAGCTAAGGCTCTTGAGTAAGTCGCTCCTGTCCTTTGCAATGTCCACGTCCAGGGTGCTGCGATCTTCATCCTGGAAAGACATGTGGCTGCATACAATATACCACCACAGACACACATACACATTTGTTTCATGTGTATATGTATATATCGATTTTGCATGAGACCACCTACAACCCAGGAGCCCTGCTTTGTATCTAGTCTGGCACATTAGCATATGCATATCTATGAATCCATGACGAGGTAAACCTAAACCCACACACACACAAGCATGTATGTGGATGTACACAGACACAGTCTTGATGCTTTGCACATGCAGGTGTTTCAATGTATCTAGCTCTATAGATACATGAGTATCTATATATTATACATATATATAT